AACAGGGTTTCTGCAGAAAAAGATGAAGCTTGTACCAGGTGTGGTACAGACACCATTTCGACTCACAGGGACTCCTTGAGGACACTGGTCGTCGAGCTGCTTGATTTGCAGTTTTGGGGTTTATTTTCCTTGGCAGCTGAGAGTCTGGCCTTTAAAGCAAATCCTCTGGGCCACATTCAGCTTTTTTTTTTTTGGTGTATCCTGGTTTTGGATCCATTCTTATCTTGGTCCTCCCGTTCTCTTGTTTGGATGACTTTGCCTCTCCTTTTGCCACACGCTGGTGTTAATTACCTGCTTTTCTTTAATTCCCTCCCTGCACCCCGTGGTCTGTAAAGAGCCTGGAAAAGCTGCTGCCTGTGCTGTGGGGTGGGGAAGGAAGGGGGGGTTGCCCGGAGACTGACACCGCTCCCGCTTTTGTTCCCAGACTCTTGAAATGCCTGAAGACTTTTGGTGAAGTGCACTGAGCCGAGGTGACAGACTTTACTATTTAAAAGAATCAAACCTTATCTTAAAAATATGGAATTGGAGAATTAGCAACGCACAACTGCCCTCTTTCTTCTCTCTGCCTCTCTCCGCCGTTCGGGCAGCGACTGGGCCAGGAAACCCAAGCTGCCCGGCTTCCTCCTCCCCTTCCATCACCCCAGCGTGCTCTGGGATCCCACAGCCCCTGCAAGAGACACGTGGAGTGTAAGAGAACCCAAACCAACTGCAGAAGCCGCGAAGCAGAAGGAGACCCTTCGCTGCTGCCAACGCAGAGAGAAACCGGACGATTTGGTGACAAAAGAAAACTCTAAGAAAGAAAAAGAAGAAGAAAACATAATCTATTTAGCATTAATTTATAGCTGTATATATGTTGTACTTTTAAACTATGCAGGGGTTGGATGATTAAGTTATTTTGTTTTCTGCCCATTCTGGTGCACAGGGAAGCGGGGAAGCCTCTTCCCGGGGTGTCTCACTCCACATCACTTTCCTGCCCGGCACTAAAACAAGAATCACGTTGCAGTTGCTGTACTTGGCTTTCGGGAGGCCCAGCGGGGTCGTGGGGATTGGGATGTCCATACCTGCCTTCAACAGACGGGAACTGCAGAGCTGCAGGGGGTAACAGCCCCGGGGGGAGCCGCCCGGAGCCCTGCCGTGGTGGTTTTGCAGCGTCAGCAGAAGCCACGGCGGGTCAGCTGAGCGCCGGCGTCGGCGACGGGAAGGATTGTCCTGGATGGTTTGTGCTCGTCAGTCGTTGGGTTCATCTGTGCACGTAACTTCTTTTTTTCGCCGAGTCTGCTGGAATTTTGCCTGGTAATCAGCGTGTGGCGCGCGCTCCGTGCGGAGAGGGCTTCCCACCAGGGCTTCCCACCAGGGCTTCCCGTCGGCCTCGCCCTTCGTCGGGGGGTTCTGTGCGTGTCCCGCGCTCGGGGCTCCTCGCCCACCCACCCACCGAGAGCAGCCGGGCCTTGGCTGCACCTCAGCACCACGTTTCCCTGAGGAGACCTGGAAAATACTGCAGATCCACAAGAAATGGAGTGTGGTGTTGCTTCTGAAAGCAGCTCTGCTGGGGGGATCAGGGCAGCCCTGGGCTCTGTGGCGTGTCTCGCTCCGTCACCGCCGGGCAGCACCGGCGGGAGGGTGCCCGAGGTCAGGAGCCACCCCTTGGAAGCAAAGCTGGCACGAGCAGAGCCGCCTCCCGTGGGATAAACTGGATGATTTAAATTTTGTTCTGCTGCTCTGCAGTTCCATCTGTGTCTAAAGACATTTCCAGTGAGAACTGTCCCCCCGGCACGCTCGAGGAGTGAATCAGAAGCTCGGCGGCTCCCAGGTGGGCTGGCAGAGGTGGTTTTATCCCGTTGTCCGTAGGAAGCCACTGGCTCTGTCTTCAGCTGTTTTATTTTATTTTGTGAAATCTCACCCTCCCACTGCCCACAAGCCCTGTTACCCCACAGCCAACCGTGGCTTGGACCTGATTTTAAGGGGGTTTTGATTTTAATCCTTTTATTTTTTTTTTTTTTTTAAATGGCTCTTCCACCTTCAGAAGGAAGTGGGTGGAAGTTCAGCATTTGGAAATGGCGCTCGATGGAGGCACAGGGATGATGGGGACGGGGTTGGACGGAAATCCCGCTCTCGGAAGGAGCTGGATGTGTTGCCTGACAGCATTCCCTGCCCGGAGCCTGCCCGCCAAAACCTTTGGATCGTTCTTTTTTCCAGTAGATACCCACGGATCATAAGGAGCGAGAAGGCGTCGATCCCAGTGGATGCTCACAGAGGCTGTATCTCTCGATTTAGAATTAATTATACAATTGTACATCTATAAATAAATGTTTATAATGTGAAAGGCTCTGGCTGTGTTGGTGTCCCGCAGATCCTTGCTCCAGCTCCTCGCTGTATTCACACAGGCAGGCAGTGGATGGAATTTGGGGTCATTGCCATCCCGGGAAACCCCTGTGCTGGGGGGGCTTCCCCTTCCCTGGGATGGGAGAGGGATGGAGAAGAGGTGGTGCCCCTGTGGGTCCTGGCAAGGTGACAGCAAATGCCCAGCAGGACATCTTTGCATCAGACTGGTTCCACTGGGATGTTCCCAGGAGGGCACCTCACCTTCCTGCCCTCCCATTAGCCAGCTCCCTGCATCCTCTGGCCACGCTCCTTTGGGGAATGCTTTATTCTCATCCCAGGATGCCACTGGCCTGGCAGCACCATCCCAGCATTTGAAGGTGCCCTTTGGACGTGGTCCCCATCAGGGTGGGCAGGAAGGCTCAGGCTGCTTTTGTCCTGGCTGGAAAGGCTGGCTTGGATGTGCATCCTGACAGCAGCAACTTGGAAACTGCAGTTGGATTTGGGATCTGTGCTCCCAAATGGGTCTCTTTTCCCCACATCCCCCCTCCCTGGGGCAGCGCAAGGCTGGACCCCACGGCATCCCCATCCCCCAAGGGCTGGAGGTTTTGGGATGGGAACTTTCCCCTTTTCCCTTTTTTTCCCCTTCTCTCAGAGGCCAAGGGTCACGTCCCTTCTGTTTCCCCTCAGTGCCACATTCCCAGCAGTGGTGAGTCAGCCCCTGGGGAATCTGGCATGACTGCAACCAGGCACGTTCATGGCCCAGGTTTTGGGGTGGTTTTGCTACATTTTGGGTCCAGAGCAATGGGAGACTTTATGAATTTCAGTGTGTGTTGGTCCCTTCTCACCTGCAGGTGCCCATCAGCTCATTAGCCCAAGCTTCTAATTGGAGCAGCTGCCAAAGACCGGGAGGCAACTAAGGCAGGTACTCTGGGAGCAGTGTCCTCTGGCAGGCAGGTAGGGAGCAAACTCCGCTTCTCACTGTCATTTCTGGTAGCAAAACATGAGGGTTTAGCATTACTGTGGGATTTAAATCCTCATTTGCCTTACTGCTGCTTGTGTCCCCAAAATCTCCCTTTTCCCAGTGCTGTGCTGACACCTGGGATCCTCAGGCTGATGCTGGTGCCACAAATAGCTCCACTGATGCCTCCTCGGTCCCAAAATATCCCTTTGCCTACCCCCCTGCCATGGGAGACACTTAATCCAGCCTGGCTGGAAGCTCCTGGCACCTTGCAGAGCTGCCAAACCCCAGGGACCTTGCTACGCCCCCAAATTTCCCATGGAAAGGCTGTTTTGCTATAAATAAGAGCAAAGCTTCACCTTCACAGCTGGGGCTGAGACCACAGGGTGTTTTCTGAACAGAGGGTTTTGCTGGGCACCCCCCAGCAAAGAGGCTGTCCCATCGCTCTGTGTTCACTTTTGGGGAGTTTTGGTGGATTTTACTGTTTTCTTGGCATGATAATTTTAAAAAACAGGATGCAGAGTTCCCTGTCTTCCCTTGGAGTGGCTGGTAGGGGACAAGTGGGGGTCACGCCGCTGCTGGAAGCACAGGAGGCACAGGACCACCCCCCTCCATGTGCTTAGGAGCTTGATATTTAAAAATACATGTATTTATGGGCTATATTTATCGCTCCAAGTCTCGATGTGCCTCAGCAGGGGATGACTGCACAGCCCGGTCACCGCGCCGTAAATCATCCCGGGAGCAACACACTGCGCTGGCAGTGCCAAAACCTGCTCCTCTCACGGTTTTGCCAAAAAAACTTGGGGTTTGGAGTTCCTTTTCCACTCCCCCCGGGGATGGATTTGTGCTGGATGATCCCACGGGGCACTGCCTGACCCCAGCAGGGGGATGCCCCTCATGTGAGGGGGGGATGCTCTGGCACGTGACCCTTTGAGAAATGTTCCAAATCCCCCCCCTTTGCACAATGTGGGTGTGCAGAGGTCTGTTTCCAGCTGTGCCACCCTGACTGCTCCTAGGTGGCATTTACACCAGCGAAAAATGCTCCAGTTCTGGGTTGTCCGTGTCAAACCCAAGTTTTTTTCCATGAAAAGTCACTGTTTGTCCACAGGGGGATAAAACAAAACAAAAAAAATCCAACAACTCAAACCTGAGCCAGAACAAACTTGTATGTGAATGGAAATGGTGTTTCAGGCTGGTTCTATCCCCCCACACCTTCCTAGGGGAGGGCTCCTCGTTTGCCAAGTGACTTAACCACCCTTGAGTGAAAGCCTTTCCCCCCCCCGAGGCCTCTAATTGCAGGTTTGTGTAATTGGTCTCAGCTTGGCAGTGGGTTGGGGTATGCTCACTCTTGGCAGGTGTGACCCTCCCCAGCCTCCCTCAGTCACAATTTTAGCCAGTTCTCCTGGTTTTCAGCCCAGATTTTCCCCCATAGGTCCCAGGGGAGGAGCAGCAGCTCCTGGCTGGGATGTGGGGTGTTCCTCCCCAGGCATGAGCAGGCACTGGGCTGGCTCAGGGCCCTGACTCAGCCCCCCTGAGTCACAGCCCCATGGCTGCAATTAGGAGTGGGCGCACCGGGATTCCCCACCATTCCCAAAACCTCCAGCTCCCACCACAGGGGCTGCCCTGCCAGGGAAAGCCTTCCCGAGGGTGCCAGCGGGGATTTCAGAGCAGTGGTTGCATCATCCCCTCCCCGGCCCAGACTGACAACAGGGAGACGGCGGGTTATCAATCAAGACAACTTTTATTAGAAAAGTAAAAAAAACCACCCGACACGATTTGCATAGGAATTGTCGCACTTGAACATCAAGTGTATGAGTGTAAACTGTAACCAATGAAGCGGCCACACAGTGTCGGGGCCGGGGGTCCTGCCCTCCAGCCCCGCGGCACCTCACGTGCCCCTCTCCCACCACTCTCGTGATCAAAGACACGGCGCGATTCCAGAGCCCCCTCCCGCCCGGCTGCCGGCGGAGGGGGTTTGTCTTTGATCCAGACCCACGGCTCAGCCATCACTCACTCCCTCCCCCGCCCCCTGAAACCCCATTGATTACAATCCTCGTTACAAAAAAAGAGCCCCACGATTGATCAGCCATCAGGAGACCGGCCGCCCCCCCCCAGCAGCCCCGCTGCCGCCTCCGGGAGCATCCCGGGATCATCCCACAATCATCGACAGCGCGAAGCGACCTCCGCCCGGGTCCCGGTCCGCTCCACGTCAGGGATGTCCCGGCATAGGCGGGGCCCCACGGGGACCTCCACCTGCCCAAACTACTTCCACCTACAGCCCTACTCCAGCCTAACCTAAACTACAGCGGCTGCCCCGAGCCGCCGCCGCCGCGCTCCGACCGGCTCCTCCAAAGCACTCGGGAAGCGGGGCCCGGCCCATCAGCACTCCTCGATGAGCAGCTGCTCGGAGCTGTACAGCTTCTTCTTGATCACCCTGAAGCCCGTGCTCAGCTTCAGCGGCGCGAAGGCCGGCCCCGAGGCGAAGAGTCCCTGGATCTTGGGCCAGAGGCGGGAGTCCAGCCGGAGCACCAGGGTGAGCTGGAAAGTGGGCACCACGGCGGGGTCCACGGCGATGTGCCCCACGTCGTGGCAGGCCTTGCCGTGCTCCACGCACAGGTCGAGGAGGGCCCCGCGCAGCCCGCAGGGTTCGCTGCGCGCCAGGCGCTGCAGCTCCGCCCGCACCTGCGCCAGGAGCTGCGCCGGCATCAGGAGCCGGGAACAGCGCTTGGAGCCCAGCGGGGCCCGGCCCAGCGTGGCCTGCACCACGTCCATCAGGTTAGAGCACAGCAGCTCGTCCTCGGGGTCGTGCAGCAGCTCCAGGTCCAGGTCCGGCAGCGACACCCCCTCGGCGTACTCGGCATCTGCGGGAGGCACGGAGGAAGGTCAGCCAGGGGCAACACCGACCTCGGGGGCTTGGGATGGGACAGGCGTGGGCTGGGGGAAACACCGACCCCAGGGGCTTGGGGGCGTAACAGGGTCTCGGCACAGCACCGCCACCCCCTTTAGGGACACTCAGTGATTCCCCCCCGCCCCCCGTAGAAACCCCAGGGAAGGGAGCCCGCACTCACCTCCCTCCGAGCCAGAGGCGCTGCCCAGCGACTCGCAGTCGGAGGTCTCCAGGCGGCCCCGCTCGCCGCCCGCCAGCCGCTCCCACAGCCCGGGCATGGATACGGCTCTGGATATGGATACGGCTCTGGATATGGATACGGCTCTGGATATGGACACTGATGTCACCGCTCCCGTCCCGGCTCCGCCGCCGCTCTGCCCGCACTGCCCGTGCCCGCCCATTATATCGGGGCGGCGCGAGTGTCCCCGCCCCCTCCCCGCGCCCGCCAATGGGAGCGCGGGGCACGTCCGCCGCGTCTCTCCTGCCCGGTGACAGCGGGAGGCCACGCCCCCGCTCCGCTCGGCCACGCCCCCGCTCCCGACCACGCCCCCTCCATGCCAGGCCCCGCCCCCTGCAAACGGGACCCGCGGTTGCATCAGGGGGTCGGGCGGGTCCGCAGGGCCCCCCCGTGCCCCGCACCCCCCAGGGCCCGGGCACCGCCCCCGGGCACCCCCTCAGCGCCCAGACTCAGTTTCCCTGAGTTTTCCAGGCGGTGGTTGCGCGGTGCCACCGGCGCGGGCGGATCCCGCTGCCCCGGCACGGGATGGGGCTGAGCCCCCCTGCCCTGAAGCGGGAGTGACCCCCGTGTCCCATTAGCTGGCGTTGTCCTGGTTTCTTAAGGGAATAAGGGATGTTGGAGTGAGACAGGGTTGAAGATCGAGGGGGGCGAGTGCAGGGCACGGCCGGGCTGGGATGGGCTTTTGCTCAGTGCCAGGCTGGGGGGAATCCCCCTCTTCCTTCCCTCGTGGCTCCTAAAACCGGGACGAGACCCCGCCGTCCTGCAAGCCCTGCACCCTGCGAGCGTGTCCCCCGCAGCCCCGGTCCGTGCCCGCCAGTCCCCGCGTACGTGACCTTCCCAAAGCCAGACCCCGAGGAGCTCAGGGAGCCGGGCTGGCGATAAAGGGCTTTGTTTGTCCTCCCGCTGCGCTGCCCGCGGCTTTATCGGAGGGGCTGAGCACACTCTGCAGTCACCCCGGGACCTATCTTGGGTCCTGTCCTTCCCCAGCCGAGGCTGATAACAGCCCGGAGTAAACACAGTGCAGAGCAGAAAGTGCCCGGCAGTGAGGGGGACAGGACCCCCTCTGTGGTGACCCCCCGCCCAAAGGGTGCGGGGCAGTGGGTGCTGGGGGGTCTGGGCACCCCACCAGCAGCTGCTTTTTAGGGCTCAAAGCTTGAATCCATCGCCCTTTTGGGGGTGGGAGTCCAGGCAGGGGGAGTGGGGAGCATCCCAGGGAGCAGAGGGGCTGTGTGGGGAGCTGGGAACAAGTCCAGGCTCCCGCCTGCAGCTTGCAGAGCCACTGCTCGGCTTTTTGGAATAAAAGATGAGCAACCCCCACCCCCAGCTGTTAGAAATACACCCCGATATTTGCACGCTCAGAAACGGCTGGATGGTGCTTAGGATCCTGTTTTTCACAAAATGTACCTGGTGGGTTTATTTGTCCCCACAACCACTAAGTCGGTACAAATGTTGGCTGGATGAGGCTGAAAATAGATGAGGAACTGCTGGTTTTGGGGTCAAAACAGGGGAAAAACGGCAAATAAACAAAAAAGAGGTAAAGGACCAGAGGGAAGACGCCTTGCTAAAAATAAGCTGGAATTCTGGAGCCAAGCATAAATATTTTTCTTTCTTTGCCATAGCATCTCCTGGTAGGCAGGGGAGCAGGCAGCTCTGGTGTGATGGCAAGTTTTAAAGGGAAATGTAATTTTTGATCCCTGCAATAAAATAATCCCAACGTAAGTCCATGCACTTCGGCTGGGAAGGGAGAAGGATGTGGGGCTGGCAGCTCCTTCTCCTCCCCAAAAGAGGCTGAGATCCAGGCTGCTCCACCGCAGTGGAGCCTCGAGGAATGGTTTTGGGCTGGAAAGCGAAGTTTAGTTAGCTACAGCGTAGCTAATCCCTGAGCTTCCCCTCCCCAGGTCCTGCTGCTGGCACAAACTCAGCGCGGTTTTTGTGGAGGAGCAGTGTGTCTTCTCCCTGACCTGCTGGCCTTTCTGGGAGAACAGAGAGGGATCTAAACTTTCTGGACAGGCTGTTCCCAGGCAGCTGTGCCTCGTGGGATGCCCTTCTGTGCTGAGATTTGCTGGATCACTCCGAGTTCCAGCCTGGCTGGCTTTGCAAAGGGTTAAGCAGGAGCTGGGGGGAGCGGCTGGCACTGGGGAGGGTCCTCGGCTGGGCCCCTGCCCGGGATGTGCTGAGCTCAGCGGTTTTGCAGGGCTGCAGGGGGAGGGGGCTGGAGAGGAGGAGGAGGAAGGGAGGAGATGTATCGAGGGGCTCGGCGAGTGCCTTGGTGCACGTCGGGTACAAACCGTGCCCCACGTGTGGTGGGGGGTGAATTCCTGCCCCACAAGGTGCTGCCGCTGCCTACGGTGTAGTTGTTTGTTCCCAGCAGCTCCGTGGCCCAAAAAGCTGCTTTTAGGTAGATTTGCACATTATTTTGTCCCTCGGGGTTGGCGCAGAGGCCACTGTGATCCTCCGTGTCCAAGCATTCCCGTGGGGAATGTAACAGAGGGGCTGAGGCTGCCGTTTTTGGGGCGTCCCCTCAGTGCCTGCTGGGTGGGTGTCCTTTGCACCCCCTCTGGCCCCGTCCTCGCTCGCAGGGTCCCTGATTGTGGCAGGGGGTGGCGGGCACACGAGGGGTGACCCTGTGCATCCTCTGTGCCCGTGGCCAGGTCTGACAGGTGAGCTGTGGCTGCGTGGGACGCGGCAGCAGGTCCCGGCGTGCCGCCGACCGGGCAGGTCCCTGCCACAGCCGAACCTCCCGGGCCCGTCTCTCGCCCCCGGGACAAGCAGCTGCAGGACCCGGGCGGAGAGGAACAAGGAACGTGCATCCAGGAGGGCGGTGGACAGGTTTTTGGCAGCTGAGATGCCGAGTTGGCACCGCAGATTTGGGGGGGGGGGGGGGGGGGGGCTCTGAAACTCATCTCCCCTTGGGTGCTTCTGGGGGAGAAGATGGGAGATGGTGTTTCGGGGGTGCTGCCCCACTCTGCTGCACCCTGGATGCTGGAGGGGCCTTCCCCGGGCGGGCTCCTTGCCCGGGCAGCAGGGCGAGCGCGTGCCTTGGCGCCGTGGCCAGCAGTGCGAGGAGCCGGGGAGGGGAGGTGTGAGCGGGGCCGGTACATAACGTTCTGCCTCGAGCACCCACAGGAAAACCAACCAGCAGCCCTGAACGAGGCTCTTTGTTCGGCCTTTTTTTTTTTTTTTTTTTTTTTCATTCTCCCTCCCCTCCCCTGCATCAACTTTTTCTGGCAGCTGACGGGTTCCCCCCCAACCCCCCTGCACTCCGTGCTCAGTTGCGGCCTCCGAACAGCCCCCGAGAGCCCCGGGGTGAGGGGGCAACGGGGCTCCCAAACCTCAAGGAGGGATATTTACCGCCGGCGCTGCCCCACTGATCTGCAAAGCAGGAAAGAGGCTGGGGAGTTTCCAGCTGCCAGGGAAAAGCTGGGTTTGGAGGAGGGGGAGAGCGGAGGGATTTTGCCAGAGCGGTGCAGCGATGCCTCCAGCTCTCCCTGCCTTACATAAAGTGTTTACTGAGCGGGAGGAGGGAACGGCCAACAACATGTTTGTGCATTCGTAGTACTGTACAGGGTGAACTTTTCACTTCCTCTCAATAGCTCTCACACATGTGTCTATTTTGGTGCTGGGCACACATACAAACACACCATGTACAGCACGGAGCCGGGGACGTTCCCTGCTCCTGCTCTGTCCCAGCACAAAGAGCGGCTGGAAAACAAGGAACGGGAGGAGGCCGAGGGGGATAAATCTCAGCCCCGCCGTGTTTTGGATGTGTACAGGGAGGTCTGGGCACTGCCCGGGTGCTGCATCCCGTGGGCAGCGCCGCAGGCACCGAGCCCCCAGCTGGGAGTTCCCAGAGGGCTGGCGGAGTGGAAAAGTTTCCCAAGTCGAGCAGTAGAAAGGAAAGGCTCTTTCTGGGTCTGATTACGCCGGGTTCAGCGAGTGGGGGGTTTGGGGATCTGCTGTTCCCTTCCCAAACCCCACAGTGATGCGGGGCGGGTATTTTTGGCAGGTTTGGCCAAGGTACATTTAGGTGGCTGGAGTAAGCAGGATTAAAAATAGATAATACCAGACAAAAAAGCTGATGATTGAAACGCTCCCTTCTTTCCCAAGCAAGCCCATCTGGGATGGAGGTTTGATCCCGCCTGCCGTCACGTTTAAAGCGATCCTGGCCACGGACCCGCTGACTGTGCAGGAGGCCCCCGCAGAGCAGGGGCTGGCAGCCCTCCAAGGCTGGGGAGGAGGTTTTCCGGGCTGGGGCCGGGGCCGGGACACGTCTCAGCTGAGCCACAGCCTTACGTGGGAACGCCCCTACACCGCTCCAGGAACCTCGCCGTGAATTTCCACGGAGCTGGAGTTCGGGCTTCACCAGCAGTGTGGGGCTCTGGATCACCCAAATCTCTGACACTGGAACTGATTTATTAACGGCAACAAACACAGAAGGTGGCTGTGTACTTTCCCCCCTTAGTTTTGGCTCACTGCCGGTGATCCAGCTAAAATGGGGAGAGTTTCCAATTAATCTGTTTCAATCCAGATGTGGCTGGACTGAAATAGTGAGTAAAAAATACAATCATCTAGTAAATAAGATGTTGAAAATGGAAGACTTAGGCATCTGGAGCAGTAAATCATATAATTGCTTGCATACGGTGCTGCTCCTACCCCCTGCTGGCCAGCAGAGCCGTGGGGTGAAGGCTCTCATCCATGGAAAATCATGTTGAAATGGTTATGCCAGAACATGGAAATCCAGCTCCCTCCAGGAACAGAAGTGAAGTACAACCGAAAAACAAGATGATTAAAATGGATGGATTTAAATAAGGGGCTTCTGCCGCTGGCAGAGCTAAACCAAGATTAAAATCTGATTTAAATCAATCCACTTTTGAGCATGAGTTCCTCTCAAAGTGAACTTCACTTGACCATCACGACAGCCGAGCTGCCTCCGAGCTTCATTAAACCTCGCCTACCTCCTGAACAGCTGACTGTTTCCCTCATCAGACCCTTCCCCACCAGATAAACTGTTTCAAAGAGAGAATTATTTTATTGTCACAGAGAAATTTAATACAGAACAAAGAGGGAAAAGTTTCAGAGTATTAAAGAAAGAGCACTGTCCTTCCTTACCAGCACTACTAGAGAAACGGTGATGGAGAGGGAACA